TTTGGCAAGGTCCAGGTATATAGTCAACATTTATGTTGTTGAGTAAAGATATTTGCAGTGAGTAAGTTGTTGGTTTTGCAAAATTCTGTCATGTGATCTCCAGCATCTTTTCTATCACCAAGGCCATATTTTCCAGCTATTGATCCTTCTCCCTTGTTTCTGCCTTTTACATTCTAGTGACCAATTATTAACAATGCATCTTAATTGCATGTTTTATCAATTTCAGACTGCATAATTTGGTTAAAAAATACTTCAATTTCTTTACAGGTAGGTGTGTAAATTCGAGTAATAGCCGTATTAATTGGTCTTCTTTGTATGTGTGTGGTTATTACAGTATCACTGACAGCACTGTATTTCAGGATAGCTTTTAAAATGTTATTCTGATAATGTTATTTTGATTTTGATGAAATGTTATTTTGGTGATGTCGTTCCTCTTCAATTTGTCATTCCCAGTGTAGTAGATCATACATTTTCTGATTCAAAATGACTGATGCCAGTCCATATCAGCTCACTGATGCCTAGGATGTAGAAGCTCTGGTGGGTTAGCAATTAAAGCATATGGCTGAAGGTTAGCACTTTGAACTCACCAGCTGCTCCATGGGAGAAAAATGAGGTAGTCTACTTCTATAAAGATTTACAGTCTTAGAAACCCTATGGGACATTTCTTCTGTGTCATATAGGGTCTCTATGACTTGGAATTGACTTGATGGCAGTGGGGTTTTGGGGATTAATTTCTAAGATACTGATCTTTATACATTTCATTTCATTTTTGAAAACTTGCATTTTCCTATGTTCATACTTTGTATATTTCACGTTCCTGTTATTAATGGATGCTTTGAGCTATTTCTTCTGATATTGAATGGTGTCACGTCAGCAAATGAAGGTCCATTCACGTCATTAAGGTTGACTCCACTTTGAGGAGGCAGCTCTTCCCCAGCCATATTTTCAGTGCCTACCAACATCAGAGGCTCCTCTATAGCTCTATCTCTGATGGTGTTCCACTGCCATTTGTAATGTTTTCACTGCTAATTTTTTTCAGAAGTAGATCACAATGTCCTGCTTCTTAGTCTATCTTAGTCTGGAAGCTCCACTGAAATTTGTCCACTGTGGGTGACCCTGATGGTATTTGAAGTATCAGTGGCATAGCTTCCTGCATCACAGCAACCCATAAGCCACCACAGTAGGACAAACTGACAGACAAACTGTGGTGATCCCTACACTTACATAGCTCTTGCCCCTCCTTCTTGTTCCAATTGTGTGTTCTCCTTTCTCTGTTTCACTCTGGATTGGAATTGCTTACTTATCTATCTCCTCCTGAAGATTAAGATTCTTGAAGTTCTTTATCTTATTCATTGTTTAATGTTTAACACAGGAGCTCCAGTAGTGTAGTGCCTAAGGCATTTTACAGCTAACCAGAAGGCTGGAGGTTCAAACCCACCAGCCACTCCTCAGAAGGAAGAGTGGGCAATCTACTTCTGTAGAGATACCGCCTCAGAAACCCAAGGAGGGTTCGCTATGAGTCGGATCCGGCTTGATGGCACTGAGAGAGAATATTTAACACAATGCTTAGGTATTGATTGGCACTTAAATAATATTTAATAAATTGATAACCAGTTCATACTAATTAGCTAAAATAGAGAAAAACTGTATATAAGCTCTGCCTTTAGGGACAGTAAATAAAACTGAAATGTTGAGCAGGGTTTTGTGAAACAAGATGTATAGGCATCAGAGGAAGTGAGAAGATTGTCAGCAGGTAAGAAACTGCCATTATTTTTCTTGCAGCAGTAAGGAATTCCTAGGCACAATAAATTAAGTAACTGCTTTTCAGTCTTTATTGAAAAGCTGCCTAACAGGCATAGAATGTTTCACCAAACAGGAAGAAATAGAGTTGGGCTGTTCATGATTTTGAAGGTTTACCTGCATCAGAATTTTTGCATAGCTGATTCCATTTTTATTTTTTAACAAATAATCCCAGTCTGACAAGTGTTTAAGCACCTCAGCTTTCATAGAGATGTAGTAAATGAAGTTTTAAGTCAAAAGGCTCCATGTTGAGTATGAAACGTCCTTGTAGTCATGATATTACTATGAAACTTCAAAGGTGTATAACTGGTCAGTAGAAGGGTGGAGACAGATTAGAAAGCCAAAATTTTTTTTTAGGAATTTAAGGAGTGGAACCTGGGGAAAATGTTAGGTATATTTTCTCTGTTTATAAGTGCATTAAAAGAGAACATAGGGTTTTGATTATTTTTAAAAAATATTCAAAACTTTTTGCTGAATATTGAAAGTATTTTTTCTATGGGATGACCATAAATATTTATAACATAAGACAGATATAAATTCTCATGCATGAAGCATTATAGTTTATTTGCCATATGGCAGAACTGCATTTCAAATGAGAAGTAAACACTGATAAGAAGCAGTCATATGAAACTGTGTTGAAAAGGAAAAAACCCAAGTTTCAAAAATCTTTTATTCTGAATATTGTTCTTTGTGTCATATTGTTCAATTTAATTTAAAAGAAAAAAGAGAAAGTCTTCAGATCCAACTAAAGCTTAGTTTAGAAATATAATTTATATTTTTGTTTTCTTGGATGAAGCTTTAAGCATATGTTTCTAATAGTTCAGTTAAAATATGCTGAATTGTATGTTTTTAAAGAGGATCTGTTTTGAAAAGATTCCAAAATATTTGTTTGAACAGGCTCTCAGCATCTCGATGAAAACTGTTGGAAAAGAAAAACTTTCAGAGCCATTCTGCTTTCAAAGTACACAAGGCAACTAAACTGGTACAGTTAACACTTCTGTAAGAGGCCTGCAGCCAAGAAATGTAGCACACTTCCTGGACTGCTTTTCAGCAGGCCTTTAAAACATCTTAGTGGTTGATATTAATACCGTTGAATTTTCGGAGTAAGAAGCTACAAGTAGAACATCTACATTTTTTCTATCAATGTTGTACTTGTTAATAGGCTCTTAATAATCCATGATTATCTTAAATCTCTGCCTTGTGTTGACATTACAGCTCAATAGTTTTTTAATTTTGTGGGTCATCATTCTTGCCAAGCAATAAGTGAATGCCCTGAAGAATGTGACCACAGATATGATTAAACTGTCTCCCAGATATAAATATTTTACATTGACTTTTCAGTACCACTGAGTATAGTAGAGATGTAAATTTTACAGGACACCATAATGCCTTTGGAAGATTGACAGTAACTTCAGGTTACCAAATTTATAATTGTTGTTATTGTTATGTGCCATCGAGTCTGACTCGACTCTTAGCAACCCCTCCTTGGGTTTCTGAGGCAGTATCACTACGGAAGTAGATTGCCCAGCCTTCCTTCCAGGGAGTGGCTGGTGGGTTTGAACCGCCAGCTTTCTGGTTAGCAGTCAAGTGCCTTAGGCACTATGCTACCAGAGCTCCTAGAAGCCCCTATACTTAGGTGCTATAATGGAGAGTAAATTGTGAAAGGAGTATCGCAAGATCCTATGTGCTAGAGAAGCAGGACTAAATTTAACATCTGTACCACCATTTCACAGAGTTAGTTGGAAAAAAACCAACAAATTAAATTTCATTATCTTGGATTTTCAGATGCTTCATATAAAATTAGTTTAGCACTGTCTGCCGAAATGATTATCATACTTTAATGATACTTTAAGCTTCTTTCAGAATGACCAATGTAGAAGAGTTCTGTGGACCCAATGATAGATTTCTCGGTATTTTTTCCTTCATTATTTGGATCTGTATATAATCTTAAATGGTAAAGTCATGTAGTTTGGGGCACATTGTCTTTTGTGACTTCAGGGGGTCTAGGAATCACCTGGTAGCATAGTGCCTAAGGCACTTGACTGCTAACCAGAAGGCTGGCGGTTCAAACCCACCAGCCACTCCTCAGAAGGAAGGTTGGGCAATTCTACTTCCGTAGTGATACTGCCTCGGAAACCCAAGGAGGGGTCGCTATGAGTTGGGGCCTACTCGACGGCAAACAACAACAACAACAACAGGAATCGCCAAGAGAATGCAGATTTTTCATGCAACTCTGACTAGTCTTTCCGTTTTGGACAGTATATTATTGGAAGCTTAGAAACCAAATAGAGAGAGAAAATTTCCATAAGGACCTATGTTGTTGTTGTTTTGTGCCATCGAGTCAGACCCAACTCATAACGACCCCTCCTTGGGTTTCCAAGGCATTATCACTACGGAAGTAGATTGCCCTATCTTCCTTCCGAGGAGTGGCTGGTGGATTTGAACCTCCAGCCTTCTGGTTAACAGTCAAGTGCCTTAAGCACTACGCTACCAGAGCTCCCTAAGGAACTATAGGGGTTGGTAACTGAAAATAATTGAAAACCAGAATCTACAGTTGGTCTGGGTATAGTCTTGGGAAGAAAACACATGTGAAAGTAGCTTTGAAGAGTGTATTACTAAAATCTGGAAAAAGTAGAATGAGGCAAAATATTTCTAGTGTCCTGATGTCCTATTTGACTCTACTGTGGAGGACTCTCACAAGGGAGGTGGTTGAGATCACTGAACTTTAGTACCAGAACCAAGAAATAGAAATTCTGTTTATCATAGGAGTAACTTCATCCCATGGGGAAGGAGTAAGACTCTTTAGTATAAGAATAGTTTTATCTCTAATTTCTTTCATTTGGTGCCAAAAACTTTTTGAGAGAATATTTAAAACTTATCTTTCATTTTTAAAAGTAACAGCTGCTATATTTCTTTTTAATGACAGGTGTAAGCACTTTCTGTTACGTCTCTTCTATTACTAAATTTCTTAAGATTAAAAAAGCACAATTTAAAGTAATAGTATTATGAGACAGAGCTTTATTCTGTGGATTGGATAATACTTCCTTTGTGGCATTTTCTTTCCCACCAAAAGTGAGAAGTGAATTCCTTGCCTTGGTGCATCCATTTCTAATGGAGGACAAGAAGCTATTTTCTCCAGTGGCTGACTTCCAGAATTTCTGGCTGAACGTTCTTTGTCAAGTGTATATTCCCTTCTCTAGGCCTTTCTATATAGAGCCCACAAACATCGTCAATGTGAATGATGCCATTCAAAGAGTTAGTGACCATGCCTCTGCCATGAACAAAAGGATTCATTACTACAGCCGGCTCACCGCTTCTACAGACAAGGCACTGGTAAGGAGCAAAGCATTACTCATTGTCTAATAGTAAATTGAAATGAATAGTGAACAACATAAACAAGGGCAACTCCCAGTGGTTGAACATTTTGTTGGCCGTATTTCAAGCACAGCATCATGGAAAATTGAAGATGGAAATTAATACATGTCCTACATGCTATGCTAGAGCATTCTTATCTGGCCTGTTTTAGCAATATTTGAAACAATCTACGTTGGCCACAACCTGAAGATATTTTGGATTAAATTCTGCTATTCCCCAACCCCAAGAGCACTGAGGAGGATATATTACTTTTGAAGTGGCACTTTGGGTCATTAGTTAATAACATAAACAATAACAGGTTCTAGTTAGTCTATTCAGTTTTTAAGTTTAAAGTTACAAGGGAAAAATGTTTTAGAAATTATATACAGCAGTGGGAAACTGAAATATATGCATACGTACATATAGTATTTTCCTATTTAGCAGTGTCCTTCTATAGATCAAAAATAAAGATCAAAGTTATAGATTCTAAACATTTTAGGCTTTGTGAGCCACACATTGACCCATATTCTTCTTTGCTTTTGTTTCACAACCATTAAAAAATATAAAAACCATTCTTAACTCATGGACTATAAAAAAACAGGTTGAAGGCCAGACTTGGTCCATGGACCATAGTTGTTTGACCTTCAGTTTTCTAAAATCTGTATTATTATTATTTTAGGGTCAAAAATACATATTATAAGTAATTTGATTGCTTTTAAAAATGGTCATATATGAGAGATTCAGAAACTTGAAAGCTTAAAGAAAAATGGAAATATTCTGGAAGAAAAATTCTGATTTTTTAAAATAGATATTAGTAAGAAAAAGGGAGAAGGAAACTAATATTCATTAAATGTTTATTGTGGGGCTAAAATTGAGCTAGTCACTAGCACATGGATATCTCATTGAATCCTTACAATAGTCATATAAAATCACTATTGCATTCTACTTAGCCAAAGTAGGGACTTCCAAAATATTCTGGGTGGGGTAATTTCTCCCCAATTTTTCGCTCTGTTACCCCTAAACCATTTTATCAGTAGTTGTGGTAAAGACTTGATTCCATAATAAAATAATCTGTGGCCTTAAGTAATCTAGTATCTCCAGGTCTAGGTCAGACCTCCTAGTGGCTCTACTGTTAGAAGCAAACTTCAGATACTGGCTGGACCAGTCTAGGCCTGAATGAATAAACTTTGACCTAGAAGTTAACTCAGCATTATACACTAAGTTGAATTCCTTTTGTTAACTGACACTAAAGTGATCTAAAATTAACAATGTGGTATGACTATTTTTAGTGAATATGTTTATATATTCATGATCATTTTCTGATAATCCTAAAATTATTTTTCCTAAAATATTTTTAAGGCAAGAACAGTATGAAGATATAAATCTAAGTTTTTACAGAGTTATACATTTTTATTTATGAAAAATTTCCCATTTACCTTAATTTTTTTATTCTAAAATAGGGAAATGGAGAAAATTATTTGGTTGCCAACATTCCCTAGACTCTTGCTACTAGCAGTGTGGTTTGCACAGGCCAGCAGTATAACATCTCTGGGAGCTAGTTCAAAGTGAAAAATCTGAAGCATCTCTCCAGACCTACTGAATCAAAATTTGCACTTGTGGCAGGATTCCTGTGTGAATCATAGGAATTTCAAAGTTTGAAGAGCACTGCCTTAGACTGCTGCCAGCGGGATCCAACTGTCAAATTTTTCTCTATCTCCTAAGAATTTGCCACTTATCCTTTAGCTTCTAATCCTGCCCCACATAACTTTCAATTTTCACTTTTTCTGAAGTTGCTTTGCTAGCTATGGAGATTTATCTCCTACCTGCTGTAGATGTGGTCCTGACCTTTTTCATTTTCACTCCATGGGAGAAAACAACAGAACTCAGGCCTAAGAGGATTATGGGTAAAGAGGGGGCAGCAGACCCATTTCCATATATGCATTTATGTCTCTAGAAAGTAGTTCATTCAAAACCATCTTTGCCTACAAAATACCACCACCAATATATCCATAAAGGGAGAAAGTCTTGACACTTTTTCTTTTTGTACCAATCCATATCCTGTCTCTTTACTAAAACTGCATGTTTTCCATGTTTTCCAGTAATATTTCTCTATTTTTGCCCTCATTAATTTTTTTTTTTTTTTTTTTTTTTTTTGTCATTCCTATGACACAGTACACCACAGAGTTTGACACCTAATTTCTATTCTGTATGGTAATGAAACCTAGTGGAGTCAAAGTTCAACCTACATCCCTGGTTGGAAAATTACTCAGTTCCTTAAAAGCTGAATAGGATGAAAGCTCAACTATTGCCCCCACCCTCATTAAGACTGATAGGACCCTGGTTGGAAACAAATAAGTAAACACAATAACTCAGTTCCTTAAGAGCTGAATGGAAGGAAAAGTCAATTTGCACATTCTTTCCTGCTATTCCCCTAAAAACAGGTGATAAACACGTTAATGTGTCTCAGAAGACAACTTGAAAATTAACTTTGGCCCATGGGCATGCACAGTGGGGGAGAGAAGAACATAGTTGCTGGGAACTGACATTCTCCCTCTGCCTAAGACCCGATCAGCTGATGACAGGAAGCTGATGACTCATCCGGTGCATAAGCGCACTTCATTAAAAAACGACTCTCCCTTTAAACCAAGGTGAAGAAAATTTCAGCCAATCCTCAACTATTTCACACCCAAATTCCTGAAATTTTTATGAATATGCATAATCCTCTCTCCTGAAACTTACAAAAACTGTAATACAATTTAGATTCGGGGAGTCAGATTTGGGTAAAGACCCCTGTCTCCTTGCATTGCCACTTTGCAATAAATAATTTTCTCTCCTCTTAATCACTCAGTATGTGAACTGTTTTAGCCTGACTGCACACCAGGCAGGGACCCATGTTTGGTCGGATTTCAGTAACTGTTAACCAGTTGCCACTTGAATCAATTCTCATTCATGGTAACCTCATGTGTGTCAGAGTAGATCTGGGCTCCATAGAATTTTCAATGGTTGATTTTTCAGAAGTAGATCACTAGGCTTTTCTTCTGAGGAACGTGTTGGTGGATTCAGACTTCCAACCTTCCATTTAGCAACAAAGCACGTTAACCATTTGTACCACCCAGGGACTGTAATTCTTTGTGATAGCCTTGTCTAATTGTTTTGTGTTTCTTCTAACTGGACTTTAAACTTCTTGAAGGGAGGGTTGTATATTATTTTTCTCTTGAATGCTAAACCTAGAACAAAATTAGAGATTTACATAGTATTTACATACATTTTTTATCCCTCCAAAAACAAGGGAGTAGAATTAGGAAGAAATATATGGGTGTAGGATGAACTATGTGTATAGAAAATATATCTATTCAATCATTCTCTCTTTGTTTTCCATCTCTCTCTTTTGGCACCTTCCCTTTCTCTTGCAAACATGCTTGAATCTTTTCCATCGGTAAAAATCCTTGCTTTTGCCTTTTTCTTAATCCATTGCCTAAGCTCACTTTTTCTTCTGCAACCAAAATATTTAAAAGGATAGTCTATATTTACTATTGCTTTCTTCATCTTCTATTAACTCCTCAATTCTTTGTAGTCTGAGTTTCTCGCCTTCCATTTTCCTAAACTCACCCTCCTATAAGTGTTCTTGACTGCTTCGTTCTTCAAATTTCCCTTACTTAAGGCCCAAATCTTCATTTATAATTCTTAATCTCAGTATTTTGACTATTGAGTATTTGAAAAATTCATTCTTTTTGTAGTTGGAGAGTTGTGTTTATAGTCTCTAAACTCTTACCCCTTTAGATCTTTTGTTACATAAAAATATTGTATTCATTAATCAAAGTTGTGTATTGTTTATTTGTTCATAGTATTTAGAAATGTGTTTAGAGTCAGGTATTGTGCTGTATAGAAAATACTCCATTTTGCACATTACTGGTTCTCACATTGCAGCACATTTCTCTATTTTCCTTTTTACCAGATTGCCCCAGATCATGTAGTTCCAGCTCCAGAAGAATGCTATGTGTATAGTCCACTGGGTTCTGCTTACAAACTAGAAAGTTACACTGAAGGATACAGTAAAAACACCAGTTTAGTAACCATGTGAGTAAAACTACTCTTTGGAGCATGGCTTAAACTATATGTAAATGAAAATTGCTGATTATTTTTGTCTTAATTATAATGTTTAAAGAGTCAAACTCCATATTTTTTACTGCTGCTACTTTGTGCTTTCAGTTTTATGATTTGGAATACCATGATGGGAACATCTATACTAAGTATTCCTTGGGGCATAAAACAGGTAATATAATTTCTAGCCCAGTTTTTGCCTGAACTTTTTTCTCTTCTAAGTTTACAATAGCAATTTTAATAAATCTACAAAAAAAGTTTTTTAAAGAAAGTAGATGATTTTGTTTAGTTTTCCTTGGTTCCCAGGTTTTTATGATAATGTTATGTGGTTGTATATGGATTTGTTCTTACATGATGCTATATTTTGCTCTGTATTTTTACGTTTATACAGGCTGGATTTACTACTGGAATGTGTGTCATCGTGCTGATGGGCCTTTTAACACTTTATTGCTGCTTCAGAGTAGTGAAATCACGGACTATGATATGTAAGAATTTTACAAGTGAAAATAGATTAGTGTTATGGGTATTAGTAGGTATTTCTTACTGAAGTAAATCACTGATGTGTCTAGTCCTTAAATGTGTGTTAACTGTCTTCTCTGCACCTGGAGATTTTCTTCTCTAATTTATATCATTCTGTTAAACTGATATGTTAATACATCAGTGGCTGCCTTTGAAATTCAGTGAAGCTGGGAATTCTTTGCAGAATAAATTCACTTTGGTACTAATTTCCTTGGAAGAATATTTTTTTTAAAAAAAGTTATATATTTAAAATAAGGCCAGTGCCAAAACTAAATTGAGAATTCTGTGATTCTTATCAGTTATTGATGGCTTATTTTGCCAAAAGAGCTAAATGTTGCAATCTCCTAAAAGTAGAAATTACAACTAGGCAAAAATGTCAAAATATAAGCAGTGTGCTCTTTGTAGCAAATTCTTAAAGTTGTACAATACCTCCAGTCATCTTTGAATTCTAGATCAGCAAAACATCTTTTTTTAGGTTGTTTTTAAGCAGTTTAGGACCTAAAGAGACATGTATTATTTCACTGACTTTTAGCAAGGATAAGTTAACTGACCAGGTTTTGTCTCTAGTTTTTTTTTTTTTCTGTCTTTACTAAGCAGTTTCTATGTTAACCAAATCTTGTCTTAATCACAGGTGAGTATTGTTTAAAAGTCCTGAGAGATTTACTCTAGTTCCAAAATGGGAA